GCTCCAGCACGGCCGATGTTCTTTCGTGCATCATGCATGTCATTAGCAAAGGCTGTGTCCGCCGCAATGAGGACAATCTGCACATTGTGGAGTTTGTTCCTGAGGACCCGTCCACGCCTCAGAAGGGCCAGGCCCAGTTCTCCTTCAGCCACACCGATATAAGGAAAAACTCGAATGCAAACGAGCCCCACGCTGACATCAGGTTTGTTATATTTCAGGAAATGCTGTTTAAGAAAGTTCTGTCTTTTAATAATAATGTAAATGTTCCTTTAAAGCCCACTGTCTCAGTGTCAGTTTGAGGATGGTGTTCTGGACACCATTCTCTTCTCCATGGGCCGCACCATGACGCCTGAGGAGGTGCGTCAGTTGATGCAGACAACGGTCCAGCAGGTGGTACTTTCAATACTTTTTATTTAAAATATGAACCAGAATCCCCTTATCAGCGCCCTCTTGTGGTGTACCAAGGTACCAAGGAGATGATGTGAGTCTGTTTTTTGGTTTTCTCTCTGGTTAAAAGGTTTCTGGGACTCTGAGTCTGGATGTGGACCAAACTGAGCACCTGCTGCTTCACTGCAAGTGGAATGTTGACCTGCTCGTCCAGCGCTACACCGACGACCCTGAGACTCTCATTGTGGCCGCCGGCCTCAAAAGTCGCAACCCTCCCCCACCCCCAAGCCCTGCCTCCACCTGTCCTGTCTGCCTGAGTCCCTGCAACAACAACCCCTTCACCGGGGCAGAGCCGGTGCCCCTGCTGAGCTGCATGCACTACTGCTGCAGGGTGAGACTGCAGCTGCGTGTCCATTCTTTTTGTTGTAGAATATTTTATTACCTTCTAATTTTTATATGATTTTCTTTTGCTGTGTACAGTAATGTGAGCTGCAAAACATCTGAATCTGAATCTCTGTGTTGTAGTTGTGTTGGCAGAAATACCTGACGGCCAGGATCGAGCAGAATCTGGTGATGAACTGTAACTGTCCAATCACAGACTGTCAGGCTCAGCCTACATCTCGGTTCTTCCTCAACATCCTGACAGATAAGGACACTATTGCCAAGGTAACCATCTCTGTTCCCATGACAACACAGTACTTTGATCACCTTCCAGTCTAATGTTGTTGTTTCACTCTTGTCATCACAAATCTTTCACCGCTGTGATTACGTTTCATCAAACCATTGTTGTTGTTGTTTTGGAGTTGCTCTGACATGACTGATGGTCAACGGTGTTTTTTTTCTTTGCTGTTCTGTCTCTTAGTACGAGAGTGCCCTCCTCAGGGTGTACGTGGAGTGCTGCTCTAACCTAACATGGTGCACCAACCCTCAGGGCTGTGATCAGATCCTTTGTAAGGAGAACATGGGCAGCATGGGAACCTGCTCCAAGTGCTGCTGGTCGTCCTGCTTCAGCTGCAACTTCCCTGAGGTCAGCAGGCTCCATACAAATCACAGACTCTGACTGTTCAAACTGATAACACAGAGTGTATCATGGGGTCTTGAGAACGTTCTGCCTCCTATTTGAAGGAGCCCTGACCTGTTTAGTTTGAAGCGACGTTAACATTTTTTTGTTCATGTCATCACCATGTCACCGACTGCTGTCTCTTCAGGCCCACTACCCTGCCAGCTGTAGTCACATGTCTCAGTGGATGGATGATGGAGGTTTCTACGAAGGCATGACAGTGGAGGCCCAAAGCAAACATCTGGCCAAGCTCATCTCCAAGCGCTGCCCCAGTTGTCAGGCCCAGATTGAGAAGAACGAGGGCTGCCTGCAGTACGTAACGACTTTTTTTTCTTCAAGCAGCAGAATGACGATGACGACGATGATGATGATGATGATGATGATGATGATGATGATGATGATGATGATGATGATGATGATGATGATGATGATGATGATGATGATGATGATGATGATGATGATGATGATGATGATGATGATGATGATGATGATGATGATGATGATGATGATGATGATGATGATGATGATGATGATG